ACCCATTTCCTTCGGCCCTGCTTATGGAAAACCTTATCAGCAAGGAAATGGTTTTATAGGGTAATGATTCTGAGACCTTTTGGCTGCCCCCACATGCAAATCATGAGACAGTATGCAAATGGAGCACAGTAATACACTCAGCAATTGCAGGATGAAGCACTTTTATTTCTCCTCTTAAATAGGAAAAGAGGAACTAAAACTGTCCCAAATCTTAGAATCCTCACCAGTAAAAGAAGAATTATATAAAGTCTTTGCAAAGGCTCAGTGAAGAAGTTAACCACATTAGCCTCTATTGATAGAGTGCTTAGGGTAAAATTTGCGTTTTATGGTATTGGCCTAAATTTCCGGAGAGAAAAAACTACTAGTTGGTTGAGCCCTGGCTGGTGTGGCTCAGTGGATTGAGTGCCCGCCTGCAAACCAAATAGTCACTGGTTCGATTCCCAGTGTAGGGCACATGCCTGGCTTTCAGGCCAGGCCCCCAGCAGGGGGAGTGTGAGAAGCAACCACACATTGATGTTTCCCTCCCTTTCTTTCTCCTTCCCTTCCCCTCTAAAAATAAGTAAATAAAATCTTTAAAAAAATAGATGGTTGTTATTTTTTCTAGGTAACTGAATTATGGTCATGAAGGTAAGTGGAAAGTGGTTAGCGATAGTCTATTGACTATATTTTTTGTTTGTGGTTCAGAAGATGCTGTAGGATATAAACATGGATTATGTATGCTCTAGGAAGTCCTTTACATGTTTTCAGGATGGAAACTTAAGAGATCTATTCTGGGAAGAAAATGCAGCTGATGTGTCTCATGGTAAGGTGGTCTACAATGAACAAAGCTTTGAGTTTACGAGGCTCCATCTTAACCAATGGACAAAACATGTATTGTGTTCGCTGGTCAGAGAAGAAAAAATAAAAATAAAAGAAATTGCCTAGAAGGAAACCTACCTCATCCAGAGATAAAATTTACATGAAATATGGTTATAATGAGATTATTTACATTCTATAGTCATTAGGGATAAAGAGAATACTTGCAGATCTATCTTCCTAAACAACCAATTGAAAATATTTTGTGATAAAATCTCTCTGTGCTGTGATTTTCTGTCAGATACCATAGAAAAATGGTGCCAAGTTAGCATATTTATCCACGCAGTGACTGATGCATATTTTTTGGAAATTAGATACCGATGCTTTCTTTCAACTCCATATATCTACTATATTTCCTACTCATTGTGTTGTGTGAGTTTGTGTTTTGGAGAGACAAGAATTAAAATCTAGAAAACCAGCTTGTTTAAAGATATGATCTCAAAAGTGATTTCTATAAAGAAAATATTGCTATCTTGAAATGAAGTTGGTGCTACTAGTTTCACACACACATGCACAAACACACATGTGTGCACACACAGAGCAGGATAAGGATAGATGTGATGATCCTGGTTTAAAATGATCCACAGATTTAATGGATTTGCAACTGTCTTCTTTTCAAGTCCCAGTGCCACTGGATGTTCAGATATGTTGGTTATTTCATGTGTGTTTTTTAAAATGGGCTTTATGGCTTATACATAAAGATAAATGAAAAATAGTAGTCTAGAAAGATTAAAATAGTTAAGTTATGATGTTGTATTTGAGGAAAACATAATGGTCCAGCTTCTTCAGTATAGAGTGATGATGCTTCCTTTCCCTTTTTAACACAATAGGAAAGAAGACAGTGTGATTACTGGTGTATGCTGATTGCACACTCTCCATGTGGGAGAGCTTCATGCCATACAGAAAAGGCTCCAGTTGGACTTTGCTTCTACCTGAAGAAGAGAGCTCACACTGGATGTGTGGAGACCAAAGTGTTTGTGTTATAAAATAATTATGGACTAGCCAGTGACTTTGGGAGAAAGCTCAGGTTTAGAAATGATAGTCATTAGCAGAGGCTGGAATGTTTAACAGGCAGGACAGGGCCATGGATGCAGACAGCATGGGGCCTTTCCTACAATGATCTTTGGACAGAGTACTATGGTCAGTAAAAGATAATAAAGAGGCTAGAACATGCACCATCTGGTCTAACAGAAGGGAAGTTAGAAAACATCAATGGGGAGTTGGAACTGTTATGAAAAGCCAGACGGTGAAGCATTGATTAAGATTATTTTGATGATTATGTGATATCCTGTGATTTATACCACGGACAAGGAAGAGCAAATATTTGTGTGTGTGTGTGTGTGTGTGTGTGTGTGTGTGTGTGTGTGACAGAGAGAGAGAGAGAGAGAGAGAGAGAGAGAGCCTGTGAAACCAGGGTATGCTGTAGAGCTACAATTGTAACTGACCTTGGGATTCAGAAAAATCTCCCTGTCACACGGAAGAAGAGGCCAAACCTAGGAACAGGGCTTCCTGAGAATGTGAAAACTCTATGCATTCTGTGGAAGAGAACCATGGTGATCCAACTGGTTCTCAAGTGTTTGCAGAGGGTGGGGTAGCAGTGGGAGTATGATATCACAGAAAAGCTTCTTTAAAAATAAAAGACCTCAAAGTTGCTGACTTTAGTGGTACTCTGGAAGACACAAAGAGAAACCAGGTCAATCAGGCTACAGAGATAGACCTGGTGGAACCCACAGGACTAGAGGTCATTTATAGTATTGCTCGCTCAGATTAGAAATCAGTGCATGAGAAGGTAGATCTGAAATTTCCAAGATTTCTTAGGATGCAAAGAGGCATATTTTCTAAAATTAATTTCTCATGTGCAGCTTTCTTAGTGTTCTCCTTTATTACTCGCTGTTTCAATGCAATTTTTGTTAATTCCCAAAAGAAGTCTTTTCTTTAATGGATCAGTGATTGAAGTGATAATGTTCACTTCAATCCCCAGAACAAAGCAACACACGGCAATTATCACAACCTCATTCCTGTAGAGTGTTCTCTTGTTTACACCAAGACCTTTAACTTGACCACTTCTCCCAAATCACCGCTAGCCTTTGTAATATTCTTACCATGAACCAGAGGTTGGCCAAAGCATTTTATACACATTAATCTTTATTAGTTTCATCTCAAAACAGCTCTATGAAGTAAGAACTAGTATTTGGCCCAATTTAAAGTATATTTAGAAAACCAAGGCTTTACTTTAGGCCACCAGCTAATATGTGATGGAGTCCAAATTTGAGCTCAGCGTAATTCCCATGTCCTCACTCTTAACCTGCTCAATGTTGTCTCAATGTTTTACTTCAAACATATCATCTCAATTTTAAAGATGACAAAACAAAAATTCAGAGTCAAGAGTGGTGTTTTCTATTAAGCATTGAAAGTGGACTTGAACTCAGAACCTTGGGCTCCAAATTCAGGTCCCTTCCCTCATACCATTCCACTGTTATAAATCTGCCTGATAAATAATAAATATATCCTCTGAGGGTGTCATGAATGTATCTCATCTCTCCCTTTGAGATCTCATTTTTATGAGAAGCAAGTTTCTTGATGATCCGGACCTGCCGTTTTTCTCTTTACAAGAGATTTGTCACATAAAAATATTTATAACATGTTAACTAATCATTAGAAGGTACTTGAAACACCCTTTTTCCTTCTTGATGACAGCAAATGTCAGCTGCTTTTTAGACTAGGTACTATATATTTTAAATAGAGAGCTGGAGTTTGAGTACAGGCAACTGTCCCATTGCTTTGACTAGACTTTCAACCTGAGTGGGAATTATGAAGAATGCTGTTATGGTTCAGAGGTTAAGAATCTATTTCATCAGTGAGAGGACATACGAAGGCACATCCATTTGCTTCTCTATTTTACCCCAAACAGTTGCAAGAGGATAGCATCAAGCATCAAAAGTGTTACCTTCTACAATTCATAAAGTTGCACTGAATAGAATTATCACCTTGAAATTACAGGGTAAAACTCCCTATACAAAAACAGATTAAAGACAAATTAGACTGTGGGCCAGGTCACTCTGATTGTTAATTAGTGATAATGGAAATACAATTAGCATAATGAGTTCCAATTACTGTATATGGAGAAATATGAGCATACTGCTTTCATAAATCTTAGATCCAGGAAAAATAAAATGCATCTGGTTTAACAAAGCATGCCCTTCTCTTCTGCAGAAAGCTTCCTGGTAAATATCTTTTTGTGAAGCTAAATCCTTCCTCTGATGGGTTGTGATTTGGGGGAGAAAAAAAGGCGACAGAACGGATTTGCCCCGTCTGATAGCTGAGCAGTTTTGTATTAGCTCAGCTTCTGTTTTAAGCTTCCTAGAAAACCTAACCATCTGTTTCTCCAATCGCGGGTTAAAAACATTGGGGAGAATCATAGACCATTGCATCAAATGTGCTTATTGTCTTTGAAATGTTGGTGAGCCCCCTTTCTGCCTTTGATAAGCTGTGAGATTGGAAAACCAATTAGAGTCACATATTTCCACAAATCTAAACAGTTTTTTTAAAACTCTGTGTAGAACAAATGGATGGAAAACAACAGCTTCACATGGAGCTCTAGTAGGATGCCTGTGGGTGTGTTAATGAAGTCATTTTTAAGAGTTGTACTACAGGGTCTGGATATATATTTTCACCTTGATCTTACACTGTTGCAACTTTTCATTGCAGGCACCCATCTCTCTTAACTTTCTCAGGAGGTCCATCAGCTGATGGCAGAATATTCCAGTTCTATTGTCATCTCTCTCAGAATCCCCCTTGCCACTTTTCTTGCTACGAATGCTCAACTGTTGACAGATTACATTTCAAGGCTGGTTAAAACCTGGGCCATTTGGCCAATGAATGGTAATGAATGTGGACTGCTCAGCCCACACAGGTGACATTACACCTTGCACCGGGGAATGTGCCAACTTCCTTGTTGCACCCTGTAAATCTGATAGATGCCATTAACCTTTTTAGTGAATCCCTATGGAGCGCTGCAATGGTGAATCTCAGTAGTAATTGCTAAGACAAAAATGCCCCAGCCTGCCTATATTCCCTGTAAGGATCTATGAAACAGGCAAGTTGGCTACTCAAGTGCTTTTTCCCCACCTGCTCCCTTGATTTACCTTCAGCTGTCAGTCTGCACGCCGGCCGCAGTGCTTCAGAATCTTCCAAACACACACAAGGAGCAGAGTTGCAAAGTACATAGAGCAATTCAACCTTCTCTCTTTTTTCCTGAATGGGATTTTGTTACAAATGAGAACAGTTTTATATCTAGACGAGAAGATCTACTAAAATAGCTGAGTTCATTGAGGAGAACCTTCCTGCCCTCACCTTCATGATTCACAATGCACTTTTCATCTGGGTTTTGATTGTGGTTGTCATATTTGTAACCTAGTCAAGTCCCCTCAGTCTGTCTGGAAGCATTTGTAAACTGGATTATTCAATAAAAGAAATGCTTGTCAGGCATCATTCTCCTTCAGCAGTTTGAGATGCTTTCTCTAAAAATGGCTTTCACACTATCGCTGTCTCTCCTGGAAGCACACACGTGCACGTGCACACACACAAATGGATTCAAAATGATCATTGACTCTCTGTCAGCTCATATTTACTGAGGGATATATGGCAGAGCTTAAAAAGACAAAGCTCTGTCCCTAGTATTTTTGTTATTAACGTATGTATTAGATCTACACTTCTTTATAGATTTAAACAAGAAAAGGCAATGCATTAAGAAGCACATAAGATATCCTAGAAATACCTTCTGGATACTGGAAGGGGTCTTATTGATAACCATAACAACGTGTACCTAATAAGTGCTCATATAATGGATGTTTGGCAAGTAACTCCTGGCAAAGTCTTAGTCAAATCACTGTGACTCTTCCTTATCTGACTTATAATATGAGAGATTGTTGCCTAGATGTTCTCTAAGGTTTCTTTCTGCTCTAAAATTATATGATTTTAAAGGCCAAACCTCCAAACCAGGAGATAGGACATAGAAAAATGTTAAAGACTCCTCAATCTATCTAAATAGTTGCTTATTTTTTACCCACCTGTGCCACTTAGAATTCAATTAAGCTGTGCCTGAGAGAGGAGCCCCACACAGAATAGAGATTCATACCTTTGTCCAGGGTTTGTAGTCCTCAAAAGGCACCCGGTCTCAAGATGGCAGTTGGCACTCCAGCCATCACAGAAAGAGAAATGGGGATGTGAACTACCTCCATACTCAGTACTTCAAGGAGCTTTCTAGGAATTCCACATAATGACTTCTGTTTATATCTCATTGACATCAGTAGCTGTGAAAGAGACTACGGTATGGAGTATTTTAGCTGGATGCATTGTGCCCCAGAATATACCTAGGTTCTATTAGTAAAAAAGAAAAGAAGAATGAGTCCTGGATAGGCAACTTGTAGTATCTTCCATGCAATTCTTTCCCTTTCATTGAAATATTTTTATACCATGCTTCTTTGTTTTTAGAGAAGACCCCCTCCAACATATAGAAATAATTCATTTTCATTTTGTAACCATGGCTGTGATGATGGATGGTTTAGCCTTATCAAATTTGATACCAACCAAGAAATGTATCCCCAGCAGGTAATGGAACAGTATTGTATATGACTCCTGTGGACTTCATACTAGATTGCATATCCTGACTCCATAAGCCTGGGCAGGGGCCTCAGATTCCACACCGCTGCATCACTCAGTACTTGTGGACAACCCTTTGCATAAAGATTTATAACACTGATTACCAGGAAGACAATTAGCCTCACAGTTCTCAATCTACCTATTTTTTAATTTTAATTAAATTATAATTACATATATTAAAATGAATAGAAATTAGTCTAAACTTGAGTCTGTGTGTATACACAGATGGGTGTACACACCCATGCAACTAACAACCAACACCAAGCATCACTCTCTCCCTGGAAAGCTGTCTCATGTCTGTCTTCTGTCCCCCTTCTCTCCAAGAGGAAACCACTCTTCCAATTTCTATTCCCATTGACTAGATTTGCCTGTTCTTGAACTTTATACAAATGAAATTATATAATATATGTATTTTTGGGTCCAGCTTATTGTATTCAACATAATGTTTATGAGATTCATGTACTTGTAAATACCTGTGATTCATTTCTTTGTATTGCTGAGTCGTATTTTATTCCATGAATATTACATGAAAGTTTATCACTAATCTTGATGAAGTTTTGCCATCATGAATAAAGTTGCTATGAATATACTTGTACAAATCTCTTTGTGAACATACGGGATTTTTTTATTTCTTCAAAATAAATAGCCAGAAATGAAATAGCTGCACAATAAGGTATGTGTGTGCTTAACTTTTAAAGAAACTGACAAATAACTCCCCATAGTGGTTCTACCATTTTATACTCCCACCCAGCAGTGTATGAGAGAATCCAGTTGTCCTGCATTTGGTGTTGCTGGTTTTTTTAAATTTTAGCCACTTTAGTGTAGTAATAAATCATTGTGGTTTTAAGTTGCATTTCTCTGACGAAAATATATGTTAAGCATCTATGCACGAACATGTTTTTTTTAATCTTTTGCCAAACCTCATTTCTACCTTTAAAATACAGTCATCCTTCGGCACTAGGAAGCAATTTGTTTACAAACTGGCCACATTATAGAATTTTAGCCTGACTATTATTTGCTCTTTTAGATGATGCTTATCTTTCTATAGCCATTCCCAACTGAGAATTTTGGTTTTGAGTATCTTAGTATGGGCTTCTGGATATGGTAACAATATTTTCTCATTTAAAATAATGCTCAGTTCTTTCTCTGATGGTATTTAAATTTGCCATCCCAGACTCTTGTAGTCAAATATATTGATAATGTCCCATGTGTGTTCTCTGACACTTGGGTGTAATTGTGGTGAACTTTGAATTCCCATCTTAAGGTCAGTTATTAACTATTGATGGATTCTCCTTTTCTCCACTTAATGCTAAAGTATTCATACTAACCAAGACAGATGGGAGCGGCTAAGGAGTTTTTCAATGCCATTGCTGTGTAAGCTGTCTTGTGCTTCCCTCATGTGAGAAACTCAAAGCACTTTTGCAGAGAAGATCATTTATTCAAGGTAAAGGGAAAAAAAGAAAGGAGGAAAGAAAGAAATCTTCTACATTCATTCTCCAAACCCCAGTTTTCAAAGCGGCCATATACCTTTTCTGGGACAGAGTTTTCCCCCACCATTAAAGATGAGAAAATGGCACTTTTGACAATAACCTTGGCTCAGTTTGGAACCAAATAGGATCTGGGAGTAAGAAGGATGGCAAGGATCTCAACATCCTGGACAAGTCACCCTGACAAACAACGGCACCAGTTTTGGATTTCCCAGGAGGCGGAAAAGTGCCCTCTGAGATTTATAAACACATCCATAATAAATGGGAGGCTGAAGTTTAAACTGTTATGGAGCCTTCTCTGCTGTGCTGCTGAGGTCCTGTGTGATTTAGAGAGGTGACATTTACTGTGTGCAGACCTATTATTCAGAGTGACTGTTTGTGTATAGACAATATTTTAAAATGGCTTGCTGTAGATGAAAAATTCTTATTAAGTCAGAAAAACAGTTTAAGTAGGTAACACTCTCTCAGTTTAGTCTGCTATAAGTCTTACTGACTTGCCACATGGAAAGTGCTTGGGGTGGGAGGTAGTGACAGCTCACAGGCACTGACTAAAGTACTATCTCTAGAGCAAACAGGGCACAGGACTTTAGCTGGGACCACAAAACTAAATGTACATCTGAAGTTAAACTAGTAGGCATTTCTTCAAGTTTTGTCCACTTAATGCAGATTTTTCCTCTAGTGTTGGTGCAATACTATTGCTCAACCAAGAGTATATGCTAGGGAGAGCATTGTGAGTCTAGAAACTTGGAAGGGGGCTCTTCTACTTACTAGTAGTGTGATTTCATGGGTGTTCCTTAACCTCCTTGAGACTGTTTCCATAAACTGCAAAATGTAGGAATTGGATGAGGTGACTTTTTTTTCAACAGTCTCAAATATTTATTGATGATCAAATTTACTAGTGCAGAATAATATTAACAAAGAGAAAAATCATGGTTCCAATCATTTCCCCCAAAAACACACCCATAGTGGTGATTTTTTTTTAGGGATTAGATAAGATGCAAGCAACCTGAATACAGTATAAACATGTGTTCCATCTCCTGTGTGATACCCAGCTTGGGTCTTCTCCAGTGTCTCCTCCTAGAGTTGTACCTAATTTTTGTTACTGGTTTTCATCCAAATCCATTGAGGAATAGGCTAATTCTTCTTTATTTCTTGGCCAGGAACCTCTTAATCCTGAAAGTCTTGTGAGAAGACATTGCAAAAAGAGTCAACTGCACACACCATGTGGTGGAGACAATAATGAGGTGACTTCTAAAACCCTTGTAAGACATGTCTGAGTTGCTTATCCTTAGGAAATAGTGCCTGTCAGTTCCTAGTGCTATATAATACTTTACAGTCACCAAGAACGTCCCCCTGTCTTTACTGTTTCCCATTTAAATCCACGATGGTCCCAAGAAGGAGGCCAAGCAGTTATTGTTGTGCCATTTCTGTTTTTCAAATGAGAAAACTGAGGCTCAGGGAGGTCAGGTGCCAAGCCCAAGATCCCACGGCTGGAAGAAACCTAAGCCCCATATTTTGACTTTAATCTAAGACTCTGTATCATTACATTTCTTACACCTCTTCCTTCCCTAAGAGCTCTGGAAATGGTTTTGAACAGTTCACCAGAAGAAGATTTCTGGAATATAGAGATGAATAGAGAGGGCAGTGAAGGACAGGTCTAGAATCTGTTCTCAGGAGGCCCACAGTCTTCTAAACAGAGACAACATACTACTGCCTAACCAAATTCTACCCATTTCTAAAGCCTAAACTCAATATTTTCCTCCCCCATAAGCCTGCCTTATCCCACCTTATTCCTGCCTCCAGGGACCATCCCTTCTGAATCACTGATTGAACTATCTTTTCAAGATGGGTGCAATAGAGATGATCTTTCCTCCTCCCTTTTACTCTAGTATGTGTGTATGTTATTTCTTCCATTTCTTTAGTAAGATCCATGTGAGAAAGACCTGTGAATTCTATCACTTTTACATATTTGTTCACAGGGAGTAATCAGTTAGTAATTCAGTTTGTCAATCAACCAAGACCCCTACAGCACCTTGGATGAGAATAGCACTAAGATTGACATTACACTGCTCTGCATTACACTACACTATTCACAGAATAGCCTGACTATGGTCTTGTGAACAGCAAGAAATTTACACAAGAGATTTTGTCTCTCCAACCATCCGTTTCTTCATATGCAAAATATTATACTATAATAATAGTGTCCTTACCATGAGGTTATTGTGAAGATTAACTGAGATAATCCTCTTATTTACTGACAGGGAAAGAATTCAGTAAATGTTAGACTTTACTATTATTACATGATGTTAGAAAAGTATAGCACACAATTTAAATGCAAATAGTAATTATACTATAGTGTTCTGCATTTTTATTTTATTCTCCTGGAATGCCTGATTGCTTGTGCTAATTTAGCAATAATGATGTTCAAAACATATGTTTGTTCTTCTAAGAATTAACAATAGACAGACAAGATTATTTGTTGACTTTGGCCTGTTTGGATCATTGTAATAAGATGTCCCATATGTAGGAAGTACTATGAATTTCTACAGCTGATTAAAAATATAATTTTCTGAAGAGTCATGGTAAATCTCTTTTCCACAGACACCTTTTAATAAAAAACATAAATTATAAACCTACTGTTATGCAAACAATATTGGCACAACAAGAAAATGATTAACATGCAGATAGAGTAGGTCAAAAAGACTATAAAAGGATTAATGCACATTGTTTGATGTATATTAAAACAATTGGTCAAAGTTTCGGTAGCATTTTAATTTTTGGTGTCCACATACTTATGGCCCATTCAAATCTTACCAAAACAGACAGATATATTTTTTTGAAAGTAGAAGTTCAATAGAAACCACTAGAGCATGTTAAATCAGTCTACTGCCACTATTTTATAGAAAGTGTTTCAAAATAAAGACAAGGGCAGTTCTGTTTTCAATTTATGGAAAAAAGTAACAGCTATTTTCTTCCAATTTTTACTTGATGTTTCTCAGATGCAGAACACCTTTAGTGATGCTTTGATTTCTCTCTCTGGCTACCCTATGTTACTCTTTATTTTTTGAGTCACTATGGTCTTGTGAACAGCAATTTTCATTGCAAAGTTCAA